AGTGGGGAGTAACACAGACATTCTGGAGGGCTGTGGTTGTAACTCAGCAGCACAGCGCCAGCACCTCAGCCTGAGGGCTAGGATTACGGGCGTGCACCAACACACCGAGCCACCCAGCTCTTTAAAATTCTTTTAATTTAAACATTTCATTCACTTTACTGGAAATGACCATCTGTATTCCTTTGGTTACCTAAACATAGACACAACCACGTACTCACACACTCGTTTTCTTTTGCTACAATTTGGCTGCTAATAGTAACTGGTTTATCTTTCAGGGTCTTGGGTGCTGCTCTTGTGAGTGTGGCTCTTTTACTTCACATGGGCAGCTTGGACTCTGGCCTTGTGATATTTCCACCTGATGCCCACAAAGCAGCTGCACTGATACTCCCTGGTGTGACTTGCTGGAAAGGGTGCTATCCTTCCTAAAACCACCCCTTCAGCCAGGACATCGCCCACCCTGGCTTTCCTCACCACTCTTCAGCCATTGCTGTTTATCTGAGTGCCTCCTGCCCCTGTGTTTCCCATAACCTGGATGCTCTTCTGTGCTCACCAGACATATCCTGAAGTCTACTAGGCTGTGCATATCCTGGTCCCCTCGCTGCCTTCTCCCTGATGCCCCTGTGCCCCTACCACATCAGAACACATTACTGTCTGTGTGGGATGCTCCAGCCTCTTGACTCTCTCAAAGCCCAGCATTCTGTTACTATGTCTGTGTCCCCGTAGTGGCTCACACACTAATATCCTCATCACCGGCTGGATCAATGTCCATCTTGGTCTGGTCAGCTCTAGGAGTTAAGGACACTGTCTAGTATGCCAATACTTAATCCTTAGCAGGGACCAATCTGCCAGAATCTGTAACACTCATAAAACGTTTCTCAATGGAATAAACAAACTGGAGGGCACATTCCAAGACATTAATGATGATTGCTCATGATAGTGAGATTCTGGATGCTATTTTTCAGGCTCATACCTAACTGTAAAGTCCAGGGAAAAACAGAGCTAAAGCTGTAGCTGCAGATTCCCTGAGCTTGTTCACCTTCAAGGCGTTCTTTCAGCGGAACGAATGTACATGGACCCTCAAGTTTGACTGGCCTGACATACAAACAACTTGGGCTAATTAGGTTAATGGAAGATTCATCTGGCTCTTGTGATCTATAGCACGTACCCAAGTAAACATCCAGATCTCAGCTGTATCGACTAAGTTATAACTAGCCCCCAGGAAATGATAGAGTTCACAAGTCAAGGGTCCACTATACAATGATACCGAGTAGCTGCAGTACTCTGGGGGCTGGGGACACACTGAGAACAGAACAAGGTGTTCACCATTCAGCAGGGGAGGTAAATAAGCACAGTGCGTAACAGATCTAATGGCAGTTGAAGCTTTGGACAGGTGGAGCGCGCGCATGCGCATGTGTGTGCACGTGTGTGTGTGTGTGTGTGTGTGTGTGTGTGTGTGTGTGTGTTGTATACATGCACACTGCTCAAAGGCAGCTGCAGCTTGTCAATGCAGGCCAGGGAGGCCTCATTGCCAAAGTGATGACCTAGAGGTCCAGATGGAGTCCACAGGCATTGGAGAAAAAGATTTCCAGAGGCAAAGCCATCAAAGAAGCCAGGACATAGGAAAAGGCCTGGATCATTTGAGGAACAGCTGGCTGTCATTGTGACAGAGAAAAGCAACCAAAGAGAAGACAGAGACAGAATCAGGGAGGCGACAAAGAGCCATTAATTACATCCTTGCCATGTGAAAACATGATGTAGACAATACTTGTAACCTGTGCAACGGTCAGAATATCTGCTGCCTCTTCCCAGGGGAGGATGTCACATACCTGCCCCAGTAACTTCAGACATGACCTGCTTCTGCAATGAAAGGTGGATGGAAACGTGTGCTCTATCAGGCAAAGACCTGCCATCAAGAAGGAATACAGTGAGAATGCTTTGTCTAGAGAGCTACACAGCATGACTAATGCTCAGAAAATCCATAGTGGTATTCAAACCTCTTAAACCAGCTAAGACCCAATCTAACATTCTGCCCCTCCTCTGGCCCAATGCAAGAAATACTTGATGGGAAGATCTAGAGTCGGAACAGTTGAGAAGACACTGGGGTAACAAATAGGTTGGTGAGAAGATCTGGGACAAGATGGTTTAACAGAGAAGGTGAAGGGCATCAAGCACGAGGCCAAGTATGCAGATGAACCAGAAAACAGGTCTGTACAGGGCTCTTTTGAGATGCTGCTGCTCATTTCTTCCTTTCCCCTCTTCTTGCTTTCCCATCTAGGGACAGTCATGGTTAAGGCATCTAAGGGGTACACAGGAAGAGGAATGGACCTGACACTGAGAAGGCTCATGGGCATTTCTTTCTCCCTTCAGTCACCACTGCCAGGAACAGTCCACATCAAAGCACTAAAAGGCAACAGTCAGACTGACACAACCTCAAGGACATCCTGTCTGGAGACAGCAGCTCAGAACAAATCTAAGAGTTAGATCTCTTACCCAATCTTAGAAAATCTAAGGGAAAGACTGTGTCTGCAGAAAGAAACAGACATCTATATGCACGAATGAAACAATCTTTACCAAGGCCACCCTTATGCCTTCGTGGCTCATGATGGTTCTGTCAAGAAAGGGCAAGAATAGAGAGATGCTTGCCTTGGCTTTTCTTTTTTGTGTGTGCTAAGGACTGAACCTGGGGCCTTTGTGCTAAGCTATATTCCCAGACCTTTTAAAATTTTTATACAGGGACTCCAAATGATAGAGTTCTATACAATAAGACAGGCCCTTGCCTTGCCTCCATGTTTTCCCCACAGAATGTTTTATTTTGGAAATATGTTTGTGTTGCTGAACTCCTGCCCAATGTATCAGAATGGTGACTGACCTCTCTGACCTTTCAGGAAGGTTCGTTTAAGCTCCACCCTCTCAGTAATGTTCTGTAACTCTGCCCAAGCATGAACATGCTCACAAAGCATGTTTCAGGAATGTTCTGTAACTCCACCCCCGTGCTTCAGGAATGTTCTGTAACTCCACCCCCCTGCTTCATTAGGCATTCTCACCTATCTTGTAGATCCCTATATAAAGAGGCTATCATTTCTGGTAGAGTGCTCAGACACCTCTGAGCCTGCCCATGTAATGAAGGTTTTTTTCTCTACCTCTTCTACTGACCATCCAATTTTTGAGTCTTCAAATTATGAGCTGTGTTCCAGAGTTCCACACTGATCTGCAAAGCTCAGCTTTGCATCAGAGCTGTGTTCCAGAGCCACCACCTTGAGCTATAAGGCTCAGCTGTGCCTTTCCAGATGTGGCCCTTGGCAGCAACACTAAGCTGCAACACTCGGCCCTGCTTCTGGGCTCTGGCACTTAGCTGTGGCACTGAGCTGCTCTGCTCTGCCACAACACTAAGCTGCTAAATTGCCTGGGCTGGGCTTAAATTTGCAATACTCCCACCTCAGTGTCCCAAATGTATAGGCAGGTACACTGTGCCACGCATTGACTTTTCTTGTTTTTAATTCATAGCCTTAATTAGCTCAGGATGATTTTCACTTTGACACTCCCACCAAAGAGGCAAGGGAATAGAACTTGGGGGTGAGTGGGAGATTCCATTCACAGGATTTGGTAGCTGCATCAACTCTCATGGCTTAATGGCCTTCAGAAGGGCTATTCTACAGCTGTCCCAGGTTTCTCTGAAAACTCTAGTTCCCCATTCTCTAAAACCTACCTTCTCCTCCACAATGACAAAACCTTTTGAGTCCAAGTCCCAAAGAAGGAAATTATTCTGGTGCCCTGGGCTATTTGATCACAGGGACACTTCTGCCTTGACACTTATAAGGTCCTACAGCCTTGATCTAGCCCAGAGATTCAAAGAAGATAGAGAAGATCCAAAGAATCCCCAAAGTCATCTCTTCAGGCTTCACACTTTTACCCATTATCAAGTTATTATAACAATGTATGATGTGTAATAGAGGGAAAAAAGGGACCAGGGGTTTAGCTCAGTGGTGTGACTGCCTGCCTCACAAATGCAAGGTCCCAAGTTCGATTTTCAGTTAAAAAAAAAAAATTGCATGTACTAGAGGAAAAAAAATACACGATTCTACTCCCCTGATGACTGCTTTCTCTATCACCTATTTCTAATCTATACCCATATGTGCACATATCTTTACAGTCTTGTGAAGACTGTAAATCTCCTCCTATGCCTTCTTTTGCCATACTATAAGCATTTTTAACATGGCAACAAAACTTTTGTAATTATGGGTCAGAGTGGCTGGCTGAATGGAGTAAATTAGAAGTCCTCAATGAGGAACATTGGGCTAAGGAAATAAGGTAAACATAACTCATTATTTCAAAGTTTCCACAACTAAAGCAACAGATCTTATTTCTTGAAAGTATCCCTTTCAATCCTAGAGGCAAGTTTTAATCTTAGAAAAGATGATATCACTTCTCTTTCAGAAGCAACTGTTTTGTCCAGTTTCACCTTTCTCCCCTAGGAGAATTTTAACACAGAAATACTCCACAAAGCAAACTCCAGCTCTAATTCTGTGGTTGCCGTGGGGTGAGAGGTATGTGGGGCTGCTCATGAGGATGTCCTTGCTGATACAGGAAAACTGGTTAAAAGCAATCTCTCTTTCTGATTACACTTACAAGATCTGATTCTTTTTTTTTTTTTTTTTTCTCAGTACTGGGTATTGAACTCAGGACCTTGTGCTTGCGAGGCAGGCACAGTGCCACTGGGCTAAATCCCTGGCCCACAAGATCTGATTCTAATAAGCACAGGCTTCCGGACAGCAGGTGGACACTCCCTATTTAAGGCTTCCTCCTACCGATCACTTACTGACTACATTCTTTCTAGCATGCTGAAGATGAAAGACATCTCAATTAAGTGCCTTCTTCACATTCTCATGTTTTATTCCTGTGCATGCATGATCATGTTTGGGAATGGCTTTAATAATCCTTGAAGGGCCGGGGATTTAGCTCAGTGGTTGGGTGGCCTGCCTTGCAAGCGCAAGGACTTGAGTTCAATCCCCAGTACCAAAAAAACAAACAAAAAAAAACAAATCCTTGAAGCTTTTTTTCACATTTATCATCATCCAATGTTTTTGCCAGGAGTTCTCCAATAATGGACTTAACTGGGCTACAGAATGTCTCACAATGACCAATTCTCCAGGTAGCTTAAGGAGCAGGAGTCACATCTGAAGCCACATCACCTTTGTGCAGGTTTTTGACAAAGTTGGAAAACCGTGTGGTCATGAGCATTCTTTATGTTTCCAAAGGCTGCTCTTCAGGGTGTGTTCTCTGATGTCGGACAAGGGATGAACTCCTCCTAAATGACTTCTCACACTGAGGACATTGGTAGGGACCCTCCCTGTTATGCAGTTTCTGATGAACTGCCAGATGAGAGTTCTGCTTGAAGGACTTCCCACATTGCAGACACTGGTATGGAGATTCCTTGGTGTGAATCCTCTGGTGTTTGGTCAGACAGGAGCTGTCCCGGAAAGCTTTGCCACACTGATTACACTCATAGGGCTTCTCACCAGTATGAGTCCTCTGGTGCCGGATGAGGCCAGCAATGTTCCTGAAAAGCTTCTGACACTGGTTACAGCTGTAGGGCTTCTCACCAGTATGAATCCTCTGGTGTCTGATAAGGTACGCACTCTCAATGAATGTCTTCCCACACTCTTTACACTCATAGGGCTTCTCCCCAGAATGAATTTTTTGATGCACAATAAGGTGGGAATTGCGGTTGAAAGATTTCCCACACTCTACACACTCAAAGGGCTTTTCCCCAGTGTGAGTCCTCTCATGCTGGGTAAGGTATGAGCCATCCCGGAAAGCCTTTCCACACCTGCTGCACTCGTAAGGTTTCTCACCTGTGTGAATTCTGAGATGCACGGTAAGGTGAGAGATGTCAGTGAAGGGTTTCCCACACTCATTGCATCTATATGGTTTTTCTCCTGTATGAGTTCTTTGATGCAAAATCAAAGATGAATTTCGGTTAAAGGTTTTTCCACATTCTAGACATTCATAAGGCTTCTCACCTGTGTGAATCCTTTGGTGTTGGGTCAGAGCTGACCCATCACTAAAAGCTTTTCCACATTTACTGCATTTATACGGCTTCTCTCCTGTATGGATCCTTTGATGAACAATTAGGTTGTAGTTCTTAGAAAAAGATTTTCCACACTCATTACAGGTATAAGGTTTCTCTCCAGTGTGAGTTCGGTGATGCAAAACCAGAGAAGAATTGCGTTTGAAGCATTTGCCACATTCAGTACATTTGTATGGTTTCTCAGTGGGGTGACGCCTCCTGTTTTCACTTAGAGAGGAGCTCAGGGAAAAGATGTGCCCAAAGTCATTGCCTTCATATAGTTTCTTTCCTCTTTTCATTATTTTTTGATCACTAATGTGGGTAAAATGGTTGATGGATTTTAAATTTTCAGGGTATTTACAGGATTTGTCTCTCATTTGACTTTTTCCAAGCTGAGAAACTTCCAAGGAGTGCTGGAAGGCTTTTCCACAGTCATCACTGTCACCAGTTCTCTTGCCTGCATAGTTTTTGGAACTGTGTAAGGCTTGGTCACAGTCCAACATTCTGCCATTCACATCATGGAAATCATTTGTTACAGGAAATCTTTGAGATGGTGGACGACCCACACTTGCACTCAAAGGCTTCCCAAAGCCAGGATATTCAGAGACTGCTTCCTGAGACCCTGGTTTCTCCTGAGGTAAAGTAGACTGCCTCAGATGTCTCTTCTGGTTCTCACACTCCCAGCTGTCACCCAGAACTAGCAAACAGCGATCATCCCTCACAAACCCTTCCATTGCCAAGTCACAGGACAGTTCTTCCACTGGAACCTTCTGAGCCACCGTTGTCAGTCTCATGTTCAAAGCTGAGAAGCAAAGAGAAAAGAGGCAGAGTAAGCTTTACAAAGCTGTATGTTAAAGAGGAATGGAAAGGATGATGGGCTAGATGTTGGACTGTGTAATTTTACATTTTAAAATTCACATCCATGAAAGGACACAAAAATAAGAACTTAGAAATAAAGCCAAAACCAAGTTCCAAGAAAGAAATAGCATCTCATTCTCTCCAAGAGCAGGCAGGATCAGCACTGGGAATAAACATCATCAAAAAGACTAGCTTGAGAAATGGGAAGCTGAGGCCAGGTATCATCACTCACACTGGTTACCACCCTGGCCCCTGCACATGTGTCCACAGCATTAGTGAGCATACCAACAATCTATACACATTCCTAACACCCTGACTTCACATGTGCTGAAACAGCACAGAATGAGACGATCTTTAACAGCTCTGTGATCAGAGATCTGCCTTCAGAGATCCTGGAATGACAGCACAGGCTGAACACTTGAAAGTTTAGGACCTGAGTCCTGGATCTATTGGTGACTCCACTAATCTGTTGTGAGAAAAACTGGATCCTATCAGAGACAGTTTCCAGCCTAGAGAATAGACAGCACTCTCTGTAAAAGGATCCCAGTATCTTTATCTTTGTCAATCTTTTTTCACCACCTTGTCCCACTCCTACTTCATAATATTAAGTCAATTGGCTTTCTCTATCTTTGACCTTTGAAAAGTTAAAATGTGTTGCTGGGCGTGGTGGCGCACGCCTGTAATCCCAGCTCTCGGGAGGCTGAGGCAGGAGGATCGCAGTGAGTTCGAGACCAGCCTAGGCTACATAGTGAGTTCCAGGTCAGTCTCAACTACATAGTGAGACCCTGTCTCAAAAGACCAAAAAAAAAAAAAAAAGAAGAAGTTAAAATGTATCCGCCGCTTGCCTCACAAGCACAAGGTCCCAAGTTCGATCCCCAGTACCAAAAAAAATTTATCACAGTAAAAGACATATGACTATTTTACTTTATTCTGTGAGCCTCTGACATTATATTATTTAAAAATATCACCAACCACCAACAACATAGTCTGTCCCTTGTTCCTAGAATTTCATTTATATGAAGAATTATTTGTATTTTTAAGGCAGAGGTTTGATTTCACCCTGCAATAAAGGAATATTTACTTTGATATTGTACCTAGAAGAGCTACCAAATCTCTAATATTCTCTTTATTATTCAACTGATTTGAATGATCAGCTGAATTACTGAAAGATCAGCTGCAGTGTTATTTGTCTAAAACACTGTTTTACTATAAATATACTAATGTATATATTAAGAATAGATATGTATTTTTTCTTTAATTTCCTTTTTCAGTCTGGAGAAATAGCTTGATAATGTTTGCCACCTGTCATCTATACACAATAAAGTGTTTTTCTGTTGGTCAAAAGATAATATACACAGCCCTTAAAAATATTAACTATTATGATTGGTTCTCTTATCTAAATAATTGGGCTTGGCTTGGAGAAACTGCTGGACAAGACTCTCCTCAGTGGATAAAAACAATCAGTTTTTGTCCACTGACAGGACTTGGGAAATTTTCCCAGAGCCTTACAGTGGCACACCCCAACAAACATTATTAAATATGTTATTGTAATATATTTATGTTGGCTATAATCAAAAGGTTGAATTCTTTATGTGCAAAATTAAATTTTCTTATAATATTGAGATACTTTTGGTCTAACTTACAAAATTAAAGAACAAAAATAAAGAAATTTTATTTATTAGTACATGTTACATGCATTTTACAATCATCTTGGGGATTGGGTACATGTACATAATACAACCTGCTTTTTTTATCCTCTGCCCCTCTTTCCCTCTTCTTTCTTTCCCCATTTTCATTCTTATTGATATTATCAATCTTAGCTCATATGTAAAGCATATAATTTTACATTTCACTGAGGTTTTAGGTTCCTGTACAAGGCATATCTTTATTCTACTTATTTCTCCTGCTCCACACCCGCCAACCTTCAAAGGTTCTATATTGTACTTAGTTTCTCATGTTCTCCATTGATAAACTTTTGGTAACATTAATTATTGCTAACCTCATAGTGTACTAAATGTATTTATTTCCCAAGTTCGCAGACCTTCAAACATGCAAAGCTGAAAAACATGGTGGTGACTTTCTAACTAAAGTTGTCATAGTAAGAATTTTTATACTTGCTTTATGATTGTGTTTTTAAAAAATTCCACTGGTAGGACTCAGGAAATGTTATGGTTTCATAGCTTACGGATGCTAAGTGACATTTCCAGACTTTTTAAGCCTTCCATGAGTTCTTTATATAGGTCACAGATCCCTAGATATAAAAATCTTTAGGGCAAACTTTTGGGTGAAAGTCCAACTGTTGTGTACAACTCCTTTTTCCTGCCTTGTCTACTAATAAAAATTAAAATATCTACGTGCTAGGAACAAGGACACCTATTCTTGAGGTAAACAACAGATCTCTGTATGACTGGTGAAGATACATAGAGAAATTGGGACAAAAAGAGACAGGGGCTGTGGGCTTGGGCTGGGTTGCACATGCAAGGTGACCTGAAGATAAAGCAGGCAGTTCACATAAGACCTAAACAGGGGACCTAAACAGACTCCTATATTTTCTTTTTCCCTTTATCTCTCTCCAAAAATACACAAGGACTGATATAGGGCTAACCTCCTATAAATTGCTATATGGGCTTTCATATTTGGGCAGAGCTACAGATCTCTATACTTTGGAAATCAAAGACCAATTTCTAAGAAAGAATGTCCTGATCATATCCCCCACTTAATCCTCCCTCAGGTTCTAAGGTCTCCTAGCCTGGACCCCACCTCTGGAGTTCACAGTTTATCAGTTTCAGCCCAGCGACCTGATGCTGATAAAGACCCAAAGAGGACCAGCTCCACCCGAATTGAGAAGGGTCTAATTAAGTGCTTCTGAACTGATACCACAATAGGAACAGAAGAAAAAGGGTGGACTCACTAAACTCGAGTTATGAAACTAATAGGAGAAACTTGGGAAGGGGTAGAACAAAGCCAATGGGATATGTCACCTGAGGATCCTGTGAGTCTGAAATTTTAAAGAGACAAAAAGGTTCAATAATGAAGGGTGCATTCCTTTTATGCCTGGTTTGGCTGAGCAGTTTAATACCCTACAGCCAGGGAAAAGACTGGAAGTTAATGATAGAAAGGTATCAAAATCCTAGAAAATGTGGTAATCACTATCCAGTCAGGCTAGTAATAAATATAACTAGAACCTCAGAACCTCAAACCATTCCTTTTGATTCCTGTCAGGCTCTGTCCTGTGAGAATTTGATAAGCCAGAGACAACTCTCACAAACTGATAAACACATCTGCCCAGTGTTAGGATGGGGAGGTGCACAGATGCCTCCTTGCCCCACTTGAAATGATGTATGGTGGACCACTCAATACCAGAGTAGACAGCTGATATAAAATGATTAGAAGTAAAATGGTTTTTAAAAGTTGCACTTATATAAAGACTATGTCCCCTCCAACTGTCAGACATTGCAATGTAATCCAATATTCCTAATTATTAATAATCTAGTTTAATTGCATCAGAACCCTGAGGTAGCACAGAGAGTCCATGGTCTAGGGGCAGAAGTTTCAGGGGAGAATCCAACAGGATACCTAACCCACCAGGTCATAGCCAACTCAACCGAAGAGATTCCCCCACCTCAAGTCCAGAAGATATGTTGCAAAATGACCCTCAAAGAATAAAAACAGTAGAAGTTAAAGATGTAAGACAAACTCTAGAGACAGACACTAGCTACAGAGATGCAAGTGCCTGGGTCAAATGGGTAAAATTCTCACGCAAGCCCTTAAGAAGAACAACTGCTAGGGCTGGGGATTTAGCTCAGTGGTGCCGCCGCCTGCCCTGCAAGTGCAAGGTCCTGAGTTCAATCCCCCATACCAAGAAAAAACAAACAAACAAATAAAAGAACCACTGCTATACACATGTTGTCAGTCATCCACAGTCACAAGCTGTTCCCTTTCCCTTCAGCAGAGATGTGAACCTTCAAGGATTGTGCTGCATAATGGCTCTGCGTCAGGACAAAGATGAATAAGGAAACAAGACTTTTAAGAACTTACCATTGGTCTTCTCTGCACTGCAAAGGACCAACCTGAGAGCAAGTCTCCCCTATAGAGAATGTGATTCACTCCTCTTGCCTTAGGCAAGGGGCAGTTTCATAAACCCACAGCAGAGCTCAAGATGTGCACAACTTTGAGTGTCACTGGAGAACCAGACAGTGGCAATTACTCTGTTCTCTGTGTACCCTGGGCTGATGTCTAGTGATTTTGTGGGAAATGGAAACTTCTTGGTAGACACCCTATCTAATTGGACAGAAACTTGTGTTTTAGTCTACCTGGCTATACTATTTACCTTAGGACTCCAAAGGCAGCCCAGAAAGGATCCCAGTCGCAGGAGTAACAGGTCAACACCTGCTTCATTTGACTCAGTTGTCTATAATAATTCAATTGTAGTCCCTCAAAGAGTTCCCAATTAATTCAAGGATTTGAGTCAGGTAGCTGCAGGGTATGTGTCAGCATACTTCTGGTGGTCCACAATTAATAAAAATGTACACTGGCTTAAATATATATATATATATATATACTGTAACAAAGATTCATCAACTATACTGGAGATGCTGGGAAAATAGAATTGCACATTTTGTGATATGCACCAATACGTGATATGATATACTAACACAAAAAGGAGCTATGTCATAATGGGTGGGAAATGTACCTTCATTCCTAATAATATAGCTCCAGATAGAACTATTACAAAGGCCTTAGACAGGTTAACAACCCTGGCCAATAAACTGGTGGAGAATGGTGGGATTGGTAACTATTTGAAAATGTGTGCGCTCAATAAGGTTAACAGGTGTCCTAAATCATAAGCACTACCATGGAAGGGGTTTGTGTCAGTTTAATTCACAGGAGTTCAGACACCCCACAATATTAATTTCCTAAGAAATAACTACTGAAACCAAAATTCAATTTTCTCTAAAACAATACCCAACTAAAAAGTCTATATGCATAGTCCTGTAATCTTACCACATGGGCAGGCTGAGTCAGGAGAATCTCAAGTATGAGGATAGCCTGGGAAACTTAGACATGTAGTGAAAACCTGTCTCAAAATAAATAAAATGTAAAAATAGGCAGGGATTCTGCTTTGTGTGAAAATCCTGGGTTCAACTCCCATGTTATGGCTTATATCTAGATGTCCATCCAAAGCCTCTTGTTGTCACAGGTGGAGCTTTTTCAGAAGTGGCTGAATCTAGAGTACGTGATTGATTCACAGTGCAATGCTAGAATTAAAGGTGCTAGGAATAAGGATGGGTGATTACTAAATCAGTCCACTGATTGGTTTGGCACCACCCCAGTCCCAGTACCCTAGATACAGCATAAAGGACAGAAAGAGGCTTGTCTTGTCTCTTGCTTGCTTTGCTACCTTCTGCCCATCATTAGCTGTTTTTTTCTCGGTAATGCCTATTTGCTGTGCCATGCTGCCTTGGAGCCAGCCAATTATGGACTGAAACCTCTACAAACTGTGAACTAAATAAACATTTCCCCCTTTAACTTTGGGGGTCAGGTATTTTGTCTCAGCAATGACAGACAAGTAACTAAGACACCTAAGTACTAACACAAAAAAAGGACAAAAAAAAATAAGATACGAAAAAGAAAAGCTAAGAAAAATTATGCGGCATCTTTGTGACAACAATTTGAAAAATTATATTCAAGATCTCAAAAGATAACTTTGGGTAAGGGAAAAGTTAGACCTGGTGCAAAGATAAGCAAACTCAATATTGAAACCACAACTACTATCACCAGATTGAATTATAAAAGCAATACCTTCCTGTAAGAAAATTTTACTAGAGTGACAAACAGCTCTTGTAAGTCATACAAAAGAAGGTAGCTCCTGAAATATCTAAGACCACTCCTTAGCAACCAAAAGGAAGAGAAGAGGGGTTCGGAATTCCTCTGAGTAAAGACTCTTCTAAAGTTCCAATAACTAAGCAACCCAGTGGAACAATAGAGAGGTCCAAACATGCTTGGAGGCCTAATTTGGTAGGTGGTAAAGGTGGCCTCATATTACACCACGAGTATTTCTTACTGCCTTTTCAGATTAAAAAAATGCTAAAAATCCTAATTCATACACAATCCCAAACACACATAACTATACAATCCAGATGGACAAAACATCAATATGTAAAAACACAAACAAAGGTACGCATACATACAAAAGCCTTGAGTATGATTAGAATATAGATCTAACCAACACTTTTGAGTTATCACATTAGAGTTTCTTAACACATAAAAGGCACAAAACAGATCTGAAACATCTGACTATATCAAAATGAGTAATATATCACAAATATGAGATTAAGATAAAACAAAAAAATAAACAAGGAATTATTAAAAGTACGACCACCAAGGGCCAGGGATTTAGCTCAGTGGTTCTACTGCCTGCCCTCTAAGCACATGGTACCAAAAAAAAAAAAATAATAATAATAATAATAACACAACCACCAAGATGATTTTACTAATTACAAAGGGGGAAATAGGGAGAGCACTGGCAAACAGCACTGACTACATGAGCAGTCTGCCCACCACCAACTTCACATGACTCCTGATATACTATTTCAGAGGACATGCTTGCATTTGTATACATACTCTCCTGTGATGCAGAACCTGAATTATTTATGAGACCATTAACTAAACACCCAGGGACAATGTACAAAATAACCCACCCACATCTTACATTTTTTATGTTTTTGTGGTACTTGGAATTGAACCCAGGGCTTTGCCCATGCTATGAAAGAGCCCTGCACCACACTGCTTCCCTAGCCCTTTTAAAATTTTATTTTGAGACAGGCTCTCATGAAGTTCATCAGGCTAGGCTTGCACTTGCAATACTCCAACCTCAGCCTCTTTCATTCATTCAATCATTCATTCATTTATTTATTGGTTTTTTGAGGCAGGGTCTCACTATGTAGTTGAGACTGACCTGGAACTCACTATGTAGCCCAGGCTGGTCTCGAACTCACAGCGATCCTCCTGCCTCAGCCTCCCAAGTGCTGGGATTATAGGTGTGTGCCACCATGCCCGGCTGTCCAACCTCAGCCTCTTGAGTAGCTGGGACTGCAGACATGAGCCACCATGCCCAGCAGGTAGTTCTTTTAAAAACATCAGTGTCATAGAAAAAGCAAGAACTGTAAGATTAAAACTTGATGATGAAGCTGGACCTGGAGGTACAGGCCTGTAATCCAGCACTCTGGGGGGCCAAGGCAGGAGGATTTTAGCCATCCTGCTAATTTAGGGACTTACAGAAATCTTGTTTCAAAAATAAGAAAGGCTGAGGATGTGTAAGGTCTAGGTTCCTTCACCAGTGGCAGGGGGAAATGGAGGAAACCAAAAAGACCTAACAACTAGATACACTACATTAGCCTGGATTAAACTGAATATATACTGTATAATATCAGACAAGAGCCTTTTGTCCATAATAAAGTACTGGGATGTGATAACAGCATTATAGTTTGTTCAAGAATGATCTTCTTAGAAAAGCCAAGCAAAAGCATTTCAAGGTAAGTGTCATGTCTGCAATAAAATTTCAGTAATTCAGCCAAAAAAAAAAAAGTAAATATATGCCTATATCACACCAGCCCACAGCACATACTGTATGTGTAAAACACAGAGGTGTGCACATGTTTAAAAGATGGAAAAAGGTAAAACTGATGTAGCAAAAGTGTTAACTTGAGAATCTGAATGCTTTTATAAGCATTCTTTGGATGATTCCTGCAACTTTCTTGGAGAATGAAACTTTTCAAAATAAAAAACTGGGTGGAAAAAGAGGGAAATAAGCAACAACATAGAACAAAGTTGCTTTGAGGGGGGGAACCAAATGGGAGAGCTTAATATTCAAAACATATTTTTATAAGCCTTACCTTCTAACAACCATGTTTTTAACATTGGCCAAGAATAAGCGACCTTTCCAAAGTGACGGTGATTTTTATAAAAGTCTATTCGATGTATCAAATCTCTGCCAATTATATCATGAAGATCCGTGCATTTTCTGTAAGTCAGTTTTGCCTCAAAAATGAATATTTAAAAGCCAGCCAAGCTGGGCGTGGTGGCGCACGCCTATAATCCCAGCACTGGGGACGCTGAGGCAGGAGGATCGCTGTGAGTTCGAGACCAGCCTGGGCTACATAGTGAGTTCCAGGTCAGTCTCAACTACATAGTGACACCCTGTCTCAAAAAACCAATCAATCCATCAATAAATAAATAAATGCCAGCCAAAGTGGTATATGCTTGTAATGCCAGCTACTCTGGAGTCTGCAACAACAAGGATAGCAAACTCTGAGACCAGCCTGACGAACTTCACAAGATCTTGTTTCAAAATAAACTTTAAAAATAAAAAAGGCTGAAAGTGCTGATCAGCTGGTTCCATCGCCCAGTTTCAGAAAAACAAAACAAAAGAAAAAACAATGAAAAAGAAAAAGCAACACTTAACTCAAACTCATGTTAAGCATAAGTAAATGTTTGGGGAGAAAATGTACTGATAACTGCAACTTATTTTGAAATACAGTGAAAAAGAAGGATCAATGCATGGCGAAAAGGATAGAAGAGAAGACAGGACATGGCAGGTTCAGCAGGGATTGTATGTTCTAATATCATTCACTGCACGGGTCTTCCAGCTCTTCTACATGCAGGAAAATTTTTAACATAAAATATTGAGAGCAGGGAGCTCACTAACGAAATAAAGCTGTAAACAAAAAAAGGCCGTGAGAAAGCTGCTAACGAGGAATATAATCATATACTGCAAATATATATATTACTGAAAATGAACAAAAGTGTAATTTTGGATAACCTTTTAAATGAATAATTGTTTTTATTCCCCTGGGATTTGGAGGACTGAATTTATGATTTACTTTTCCCGATTAAGCTTTCAATTGCAGTTAGATTCTAAAGCCTACTTAGTAAATGTTTAAACATGTTTTTGGCTAATAGAAAAGGATACTAAACGTGTAGAAACAGTCAACACGACTGGGAGGCGACATAGGACCGGGCGACAGACACCTGCAGGACTCCGCGGGTAGTCGCGGCGCCGACAGGAGAGGCGGCCGGGCTGGCGCAGAACTGCAGGCGACGCGGACGGCGCCTCACGGGGACC